TGATGCAATTTTTGTAAAAGAAATCAGGGGGAGACTGAGATCGATCTCCAACTTTTAGCTATGGCAAAAATCCAGGGTGTTACAAACCTACCCCCCTTAAAATAATCTCGTCCTCGAGATTTTATACCTAAACATGCAAAGAGGCTGGGATACTTGCTTTGCAGAAATTCTTCTCGTTCCCATGTGGCTTCCTTTTCAGGGTGATTGCTCCATTGGACCTTGTACAACTTGATGGTCTTGGATCGAGTCTTTCTTTCTGCCTCTTCCAATATTTTGATCGGCTGCTCGGGGTAAGTCAGGTCTTGGCTCACTTCTCGGGCGTCTACAGGGGTGAGGTCTTTCGGTACTCGGAGGCGCGCACTTCCTTAGTTGGGAAATGTGGAATACGGGGTGGATGTCGGACTGGGTCTCTGGCAGATCCAGCTCGTAAGCAACCTGGCCTCACCGACTTATAATGGGAAAGGGTCCCACATAGCGCGGGGCTAATTTGCCTTTTACTTTGAATCTTTTGGTCCCCCTCAAGGGTGATACCTTTAGGTAGACATGATCTCCAATGTCGAAGGTCAGCTCTCGTCGTCTGGTGTCAGCATAGCTCTTCTGTCTGGCTTGGGCTGCTTTTAGTCGATCTTTTATTAGTCGTACCTTCTCTTCGGCTACTTTTATGATGTCAGGCCTAAAGACGCTGGCTTCCCCCACTTCTGACCACATCAGTGGGGTACGGCATCATCGGCTGAACAAAGCTTCATTTGGGGACATCTTCAAACTTGCTTGGTAGCTATTGTTGTAGGAAAATTCTGCATAAGGCAGACACTTTTCCCAGTCCGTGGTAAAATCAATAGCACAAGCGCGCAGCATATCTTCAAGGATTTGGTTTGTCCTTTCCGTCTGACCATCTGTCTGCGGGTGGTAGGCGGTGCTAAAGGACAGGTGACTTCCTAAGGCCTCATGAAATCGGTCCCAGAAGTGAGAGGTGAATTGGGTTCCGCGGTCCGAGATTATCCGCTTGGGAACCCCATGTTCACAAGTCTTGACATGAATAGTTCGGCCAGTTTGGCGGAATTGTAGGTGGTCTTGACGGGTATGAAGCGGGCTACCTTGGTTAAACGATCCACGATGACCCATATGGAGTCGTATCCCGATGCCGTCTTAGGCAACCCTACAATAAAATCCATCCCGATTTCATCAAACTTCCATTCTGGGATTTTTAAGGGTTGCAATAACCCAGCTGGGCGCTGGTATTCGGCTTTGACCCTCTGGCAGACGTCACATATGGCTACATATTCCGCCACGTCCCTCTTTAGTCCGGGCCACCAGTAGGCTTGCTTAATGTCTTGATACATCTTGGTACTTCCTGGGTGTATGGAGTATGCCGAGTCATGGGCCTTCGTGAGGATAACCTTCCGGAGTCCATTGACTGCGGGCACAAACAGTCGTTGTTTGTACCATAGGACCCCTTGCGCATCTACCCGGAATTCCCTGGCCTGGCTATTTCCATTTTTCCCTTGATTTCGGCTACCTCCTTGTCTTGCCTCTAGGCTTCCTTAATTTGTCCGGGTAGTTTGGGTTGTAGTTCTAGGTTGGCCATCTCCCCTTGCTTCACTATGGCTAGATTTAGATAGTTTAATTCCATTTTTAGAGTGGGGGAAAGAACAGGGGTGTCTATCATGTGGCATGTTGGTTTCCTACTAAGGGCATCAGCCACCACATTGGCCTTACCCGGATGATAGTGGATATCTAGATCATAATCCTTGATCAATTCAGGCCACCTCCTCTGACGCAGATTAAGATCCGATTGGGTGAAAATGTACTTAAGGCTCTTATGGTCCGTATAAATGTTGCAATGGTTGCCGATTAGGTAGTGTCTCCAGATTTTGAGGACATGCACTACCGAGGCTAGTTCCAAGTCATGGGTCGGGTAGTTTACCTCATGAGGCCTTAGCTGGCGTGACGCAAAAGCGACTACCTTGCCTTCTTACATTAGGACGCTACCCAACCCTTGACGAGAGGCATCATAGTACACCTCAATGTCTTTCTTAATGTCGGGTTAAATGAGTATGGGGGCCGAAGTCAGTCTAGTCTTGAGTAGGTCAAAGTTGCATTGGCAATCCTCGGTCCATTCAAACTTCTTTTCTTTCTTAAGGAGTTGGGTCATGGGGCGGGTTATCTGTGAGAAACCTTCAATAAATCTTCGGTAGTAGCCAGCCAAACCCAGAAAGCTCCTAACCTCGGTTACTGAGCGAGGTGGCGGCCACTTGGTTACCACATCCACTTTTGCTAGGTCTACTGCTACACCGCCTGCTGAAATTATATGACCTAGGAAGCTGACTTCCTTTAGCCAAAACTCACATTTGCTGTATTTGGCATAGAGTCGGTGTTCTCTTAACTTCCCCAGAACTATGCGTAAATGATCCGCATGTTCTTCCTCCGTCTTGGAGTAAATCAGGATGTCGTCAATGAACACTACTACAAACTGGTCAAGCTATTCCATGAACACCTTGTTCATAAGATTCATGAAATAGGCGGGGGCATTAGTCAGTCTGAATGCCATGACCAGCAACTTGTAGAGTCCATAGCGAGTGGAAAAAGCCGTCTTGGGCACATCCTCGGGACATATCTTCAGCTGGTGATAGCCCGAGCGGAGGTCAATTTTAGAAAATACACATGCTCCCTTAAGTTGATCGAAAAGATCGTCAATTCTAGGGAGGGGTATTTGTTCTTTATGGTGACCTCATTCAGGGAGCGATAGTCTACACACATTCTATGGCTACCATCCTTCTTCTTCACGAACAACACAGGGGCTCCCCATGGGGAGGAACTGGGACGGATGAATCCCTTCTCTTGCAGCTCCCGAATTTGCTTCTTTAGTTCTTCTAACTCATTCACTAGCATCCTATAGGGTCTCTTCGATATGGGGGCGGTTCCGGGCATTAAGTTTATAATGAATTCAATATCCCGGTCGGGGGGCATACCCGGTAGTTCCTCTGGGAAGACATCCGGATACTCACTTACTACAGGGGTTTCCTTCAAGGATAAGGAGGCTAGGATGGAGCTTTGATCTCCTGCTGCTGGCCTAAAGGGTCCAATTTTTACTTCCATTTCTCCACCATTCCGGGTGTTAAGTGTGATCATCCGGCGAGCACAATCAATGGTTCCTTGGTGTTTGCTCAGCCAATCCATGCCCAGGATGACATCAAGGTGTTGTGAGGGAAGGATTATCAGGGTGGTGGGTATTACCATCCCTTCGAAGGAAAGTGGAACTGTTGGTGCAGATACGGGTGACGAACATATCGCCCCCAGGGGAGTGAATAATCATGGGTTTGGCTAAATCGGAGATCTCAAGGTTATGTCTATTGACGATTTTTGGGGATATAAAAGAATGCGATGCACCAGAATCAAAGAAAACTAGAACAGGGCGGGAATTAATGGAGAACATACCGAGGAGTACTCCCTGGTCTTCCTGAACCTCTTCTGCGGTAACATGATTCACGCGGCCTTTCGCCAGGGGGGTCATCGTCCTCATCCGCACAGGGGTCTGCGGGGCCGCCCTTGGTGCGACCGGGGTTGTAGTCCCACGGGCTGTAGTGATTGGCGACCCGAAGCGATATGGAAAGACTTTCTGTTGGGGGCATTCCCGTGCAAAGTGACCGGTACCCCACAATTGAAGCAGCCGGAGTGAAACTTCCCCGGGGCAGGAATGGTAGGGGCAGGAGTGAGGAATCCAAAGTTGGGGATGGCCGCAGGTGCTGGGGGGCAGTGGTTGGGCAGACGGGGCCCGAATAAACTGGCCTCCAGACGGGCCCAGTATTGACCCTGTGCCTTTGCCCCTGCTGCTGTTGCTTATTCTTGAGGGCAGCAAACTTCCTCTTTCGGTTAGCATCAACAATCTTGTTATCAACTTCTTCGTCAGGAAGGTCTTGTGTTGCATAACGAGCGAGTTGGGTGAAACGATTGAGGTATTCTTGTACACTCAGGTCCCCTTGAGTCAGGGCCCTGAATTGGTCCCTCTTCATCTTCATTATGGCTGTCGGGATGTAGGCTTCACGAAAGGCATCAGTGAATTCCTTCCAGTCCGGTTCCGGTTCTCCCTCCTCGCGGGATTCCTTATAGGTTTCCCACCAGTCGTTAGCAGTGCCTTCCAACAGACTGGTGGCAAACCTAACCTTGTCTCCTTCACTGGAACGAATCAGTTCCATCTTCTTCTCCACGGCGCGCAGCCAGTCTTCAGCATCCAGAGGCTCGACGGTCTCGGCAAAGGCCAGAGGTTTGGTCCTCATGAATTCCCCATAATTTGGGGGATTGCGGCCTGCTGGGGCTGCTCCTCCTGGTGGTCTTGTTGCGGCGACACGAGCTCCTGGTCCTCCTGTGCCGAACATGGTGATCATTGATTGCATCAGCTGGTTCTGAGTGGCCAGCAGTTCAGCCATGGTAGGTGGGGGAGGTGGTGGCGGAGGAGTCTCTACGCGCGTGCGAGCAGATCCTGATCCAGTTGCCCTGGTGTTCACCATCTAAGTAGGCAGAGGGGGGGATGAGAGTCAGCAGAAGGGGGTAGTAGATGTTTTTCCTAGCATTTGCCTGTAGCTGCTACTTTCATAGCCCAAGTCATCTTTGAACAATCTCAGTCCAAGGAAAAAATAAAAGAAGAGTCAAAACATGCAAACACACATATGCAACATAGGATAAGGTTTCTGGTTGTACTGGTGCAAAGCCTAAGTACAAACTAGTCCTCACGCGAGGGTAGTGGGAGATACATAACCGGGGATGAGCAATAGATGAAGCGACCTCTACTGCTTATAAAGTGCAGTTCAGAGGGGTACAGTACAATAATACACACATCAGCGTCTACAAAATCTAACTAGTGGGGAGGGTAGAGGAAGGCCCGCTGACCGGGAAACTACTAAAGCAAGCCTAGCTCTAGCGCAGCGTGCTACTCCTGCCTAAGGCAGGATCCACTCTCCGCGACGGTCCATGGCCACCTGGAGGCCTGCAAGATTCACAGTGCGCTAAGGGGAGCGACTGCGGCTGCGGTAGGCTGTCGTGGGTGCGTTGGGGTTGCCGATCAGAACCGGTGTGGAGTCGCGGTGGGGGCGGCCGCGGCGGCGCTTCCCGGAGGGCTCCGGGTCACCGCTGCACCTACGCCCCCTACCGCCAAAGTGCTCGACTGGAGGTGGCTGAGTCAGTGGCGGTATCTGCTTGACTAGCTCCATGACCCTCTCCTCGGGGTCCTCCTCCTCCTCAACCATCGGCTCCACCTCAATGGCGGAAGTCCGAGTGCCTGAGCCAAGTGTGCCACCGCCTAGCGTGGTGAATGCCTCTGCAGCGGGCACGGTCGGTGAAACGTGCTGAGTCGAAGGCGGGGGTGATGGCAGTGGTGGTGGTGGTGCAACTCCAAGCACCGTGCTGACCCTGGGGAACACTGGAGCAGGGGGTAGGGGCAGCGGCAGTGGCAGTGGTGGTGCAGCTCCTAGCACCGTGCCGCTCCTGGGGAGTGCTGGGGTCGGGGTAGAGACTGGAGCTGGTGCTGTGGCAAAGATCATAGTTGTGCCCGACGTGGCGGAAAGCCCAGCTCCCTCTGCTGGAGTCACCGGGCGGAGCGTGGGGCTGCCGGAGGCAACTGCTATAGCCACCTAGGCACGTAGGGCAGTCAGGTACTGCGAGAAGGTAGGCGCCTCGGTGCCAGAGTGAAGTGCGGAGGCCGAGCCTGACCCGGAGGCTGGCGCTGGCTGTAGGCTGGAAGTGGCTGCCGTACCGGTGCCGGTGGCACCGATCGACAGGGAGGCCGACGCAGATCCTGTGGCCCAAAGTGGTGCGAAAGCTGATGCCGGCACCGGAATGGGTCGCAGGGTCGTAGTGGAGGAAGCTGCTAGCGTGGCCAAAGTCGGTGCCACCGATCGACCACGGGTGGTGAGGGCATGCTCCAGCTCAACGATCCTCAGGGCCTGGCTATCGCAGCGCTCGCGGAGTGCCTCGAGCTGCTCGCTGAGCTCAGCAAGAGTGGACTCGGAGCGAACTAGCTGGTACTGCAAAAAGTCCGTCTCAGCTAGGTTCTCCCCGTACCAGGTGACGAGGAAGTAGCGCTGGCTCCTAAGGTGCTGCAGGAGGTACTGGTCGTTGGTGAAGGAGTCCATCTACAAGAATAAAGTTTTTATGATAAGTTAAAATAGAAGGAAAAGGGAACGGAACATTTTGCATAAGAGTACAGAGCAGGGAAGGAGCAATAGATATTTTCATAAGTATTTTTTTTCTTTTTGGACAACATAGAGGTGATAAACATCACGGAATGATCTTAAGGTTTCACTGGTGGACACCAAAGGTTTGATCCTAGAGTCGCGGGCTCTGATACCAAGTCTGTGGGCCCCTAGTTTTTCAACACAGGAAACCGGATGCGTTTTATTGAAACCAACTCCCTGGATCGGTAGGTTGGTATACACATCATACATAACTTGGTACAACAAAGTCTGCACGATTAAGTCTTACAATACTTATTGATACATGGGTTGCCCGAGTGGGTCCCGAATAGGCCTTACATGGCCGAGTACAATACCAAAAGAGTAGAGAAGGGGAAAGAGGTGGGCGAAAGCGAAGCTGCGGCGATCCTTCGTCTCCACAGGCATCGACTGGGTATCACTCCTATGGCGCCTCCTCGGCTTCACCGTCTTCTAGGGTGCTCTCGAACAGTTCAACAGCGTCGGTCGGGTCTACAAATGTTTTAGAAAGCAAGGGTGAGTACCAACCATACTCAGCAAGTCACCACTACAGAATGCATTTAGTGCATATAGGATTTCAAGGATGGCTTAGTTTATTTGCATAAAGCTAGATTTCCCAAAACATTTCACAAACTTATGACCTAGCGGTTTTAACTGGAAAACAACGTTAAGTTGAAGTTGTCATTAATCTACGAGGGTTCATTCACCTTTCCCAAGCCTCGCTTGGTCCGGTTTACCCTTGCCTCCAGTTTTCTACCAACTCAACGATATCATGACCCTCCCGCCCATCGGGCAAGGTCACACCACTTTTCTCATCTAAGCAAAATTAAAATCTATGAGGCTATTCAAGTGTAATACAAGTCCCGGCGCTCAATAACCGCGAGCACGGCTATTCGAATAGATTTGATTTACTCACACTGCATTGGATGTACGCTTTTAATCCCGCACTCCACGGCTTGCACAACACATGAGCCTAGTCCCAACACATGAGACTTGCCACGGCCCGGCTTTTCAGTAATTCTCGCATTTCGGCACCCGCTCCAAGGACTATGGATCCCCATTTCACTCCCAGCACAACACACCACCTCGAGCCGGCAGTGAGGAGAGTCCTGGCGCTCCAGGGATCAACAATGGGATTGTGTTACATATAGGTTAGGTGTATTTTAATTTTTCCTGGGTACCACACATCACATCCCTTCACCTTACTCACATCATACTGCAAAACCACTACGACGAAGGTGCCGCCCTGCGAGAATTACTTAGTCCATCGGGTCTATACCCACTCGAGAAGTGCGGTCGTACTCTGATCGTTTCCTGCATAGCTTCTTGACTCGGCCCTTAATTGACCAGGGTCGGCGACTAGCCGTTTCCAGAACCACCCATGTTCTATCCATGCCGCCCTAGTCGAAAACATTTTGTTTCGTTAGGTTTTTAGTTTTCGCGAAGGTTTTCATGCTGCGGGTGGTGCTCATGTCTCCACCCGCCTTCTGGCAATCATTCTCGACGAGTGACCACCACCAACACATCCATATCCAACTACTATGGAGTGTATAGTCATCTATGATTATAAGCAGTGCTAAGCCATGTCAATAATTGACCACGCATAAATAATAGACTCAGGAAACAAGGATATTTAAAGGTAACAATATCAAGGATGGTTCACATACAAATTTAGGTACGCATTTTATAATTAGCGTGCAACTTTATTTATAAACAAAACATTTATAAACTGGGTTCAACATGCTCAAGGAGGGGAGCGTAGTGACTTGCCTTGTTCAGTCAACAGCTCAGCTTCAACAAACTCGGATCCGTCCTCACACACGTAACCTGATTAATCGCAAAACGGAGAATCACAGTCTAATCTAAGACTAGCGTACATCGAGGAACAACAAATAAAATAGAAAAAAGGAAAAGCTAAACCAGGCTTATTTTGAAGGGTTTGAAAGAAAGAAGAATTTTAGCAAAAGATTCGTCGCAAACCGACGTAGGATGGCTGAGATATGGCTCAAACAGATTGAAAGGAACAAAAAGAAAAGAGGAGAGAGAGGGGCCACATGGCAGTCAAAAGAAGGTCTTGGACTAGCACATGGCTCACCTGATGGTCGCACACGCATGCGCCAGCGAATACAGGAAGGAAGGAAGTGGGGCTTGCAGACTAATTTGGACCGGGAGTTTAAAAGAGGATTAGCAAGAGGTGGACCCGTCGTCCACACAGGAGCTTCCTCTTCTTCCTCGCGCATCAATTCGGGCGGGCGCCAGCGCTAGGGCTGGCCCTTGCCGGCGGTGAGGGGCTTGGAGGATGGTGTGGCCGGCCACGGCAGGTCTCAGGGGACCTCCGCCGTCTGTGGACGGTGGCGCGCGGGCTGAGATGCTGTGAGGCGGTCGTACTGCCTGGGCGTGGCGACGGCTCACGCGCAAGCGCCATAGGCACCGACTCGGCGGTGATGGTGGGGCGCGAGGGGTGCTGTCTTGGGGTCGGTGAGGTGGTGAGGAACTCGAAGGAGTGCGCCAAAGTTGAAAGGAGGAACGGGGATGACCGGGACGAGCTTGCTCCGCGTACACGCTCAATGCGGCGGCGGCGGAGATCGGCTCGATGGGGTCAGGCCGCTGGGGTGGGGCGGAGGTGGCGGTGTGATTTTATCACATCCTGATTTTCGTTTCAGGATTTATAAATTATTTAATAAATTATTATTGGAATTTATATTAAATGATCTTTAATTTACAAGTGAAGTTAAATGTGGGAAATAAAATTTCCTAAATATAAAGCATGGATGGATTTAATTTTTATTAAATTCTCCATGATTAAGTCAACTCTCTGAAATCCTCTCGGATTTTTCGGAGCTCAATTCCTAATTTTTAATCATACAAAGAGCATTTCAGTAATTACCCACATATTAAATTAATCATTAAATGGTCTAATTATAATTTTGTTAAGTACTTTGAGTGTCCAAGTATTTTCAGGATTTTTCTTGAAATTATTTGAGTATTGGAAGTATTTTTAACAATTCAAAGATCATTTAAGTGATTATTTTAATTGGAAAAGTAATAAAATCCTCCTCCTCAGCTTGGGCCATTTTCGGCCCATTCCTTCCTTTCCTTCCTCTCTCTTCCGCCGGCCCAGTCCGAGCCTGCATCCTCTCTTCTTCTATCAGCCAAAGTCTGGTTTTGCTCCCTCTTCTAATCAGGCTGAGAAAAGAAAAGCCCGGCAAGAAGTCTACTTTCCCTCCCTGCGCTACTGTTCATCTTCCAGCTCAGGCAGAGCCCGTGGTCTCCCGTGCCGTGCACAGTGCCGCCGATTCCCTTCCAAAATCCGACCTCCCCGTTGCTCCTATTTCCAAATTGGTTGCGGGAATGGAATCCTCTCAATCTCCTCTTCCTTTTCCCCAAGAAATCCCCAAAATTTTCTATGGAAATCCTTTCCAATTTCGCGGATCAAATCCTTCCTTTTCCGGCGAGAACCCTAAACTTTCCCGAGTTTTTCCCGTCGTTTTGGGCCCGGACCCGAGCTCCCATGGCTATATAAAGGACCCCCTAGTCCTCCTCTTTCGTTTGCCCCCTCTCCCGTGGTCTCCCGTGCCTCGTAGCGCCGCCGCCACGTGCTCCACCCCGCCGTCGTCGCCGGCCGAGCTCCATCTGCGCCGCGCCGCCGCCTCCGTCGTCGCCGCCGGTCGCCGTCACCACCGTTGTGTTCGCAGGAGCAAGGTGAAGCTCGGCCGCTCTCTCCCCGCTGTCGCCGGTCACCGGAGCCCCGTCGCCGCCGTCGACCGAAGCCGCCGCCGCCACCCACTTCGTCGCCGGCCGTCGTCGTTCGTCGTTTGGTTCGAGGGTGAGTACCGTTGGGTTCGTCTCGTCGTCCTCTACGTGAGCATGCCTTCCAAATCCGCAGCCGGCCGCTCTAGCTCCCGCAAGCTTGCCTTCCGAGCCGGCCACCATTGATGAGGTCATCGCTGACGTCATCATCGTTTTTTTTTTCTTTTTCCTGTTTTTCTAATAAATTAAATCTTCGGAAATTCATAACTAAATCATCGTAACTCGGTTTTGAGTTGTTCAAGTTGCTAAATTCATCTAAAATCATGATCTACATGTTTGTTTACTTTATATGTACTGTTTATTTGGTTTTTATTAGTCTTTTTCTTCGTTTTGCGTGTTAGCTTGTCGTTTTCGTCGTTGTGAAGGTTCGTGAGTGCGTCGGGAGTGTTCAGAAGATTAATTGAAGACCGATTATTGCAAGGCAAGTCACACAGATCCTAAACACAATCCTTTGAGCATGTTGATCCTATATTTAAATTCTCTATTTATTTCAACTGTGCATTTATTTTCGAATGTCATTGGGTGGTGTGAATCTATTCCTTTGTTATGGCCAATTTGCATTGATTATTCTATTCCTTGATACCTTGGGTTATTATAACTTGACTAGTTGGGCTATATATATATTGGTTCAGCTAGATATTAGATATGATTGCTTAGCTATGCTTAGAAACATTAGCACACTTTTGGGATAACTTATGACTCATTGTTTAATGATGGCTTAATGATAGTTCACGATGGTCAATCGTGATTGGTTAATTAATTACTTGCCAACTAAAACTTGATAATGGTGGGTTGTGAGCACATGGTTTTGAGAGTCGTGCTCATGACAATTAAGGACCGGTTCGCGAGCTACTATTGTGAAACATTAACCGTGCCAACCACAAGCCAGCGTGGGCAACGGCTTTACCTTTTGTATAACATGATTCATTGCGGAGCACCAGACTGAGAAGTGGCGGAGATAAGCCCACGGGGGTCGCTGGGGAGTCCATGCCTCTGGTTTTTGAGGGGGTGATTATGATCCAGGAATGGTGCACTGTGGTGAGTTGTGTTGTGCAAAGGGTATTGTCACAGCCTCTATTCGGGTACTTTCCAGTATCGCGACGCATGGTAGA